ATCCTCGCCTGTGAGCATAGTTCTCTGCCATGCTAGAGGGGAAGAAACCCTAAACCTACTAGTGGGGCACCTAAACCCTTAAACCCTCAACCCTCAACCCCAAACCCTTACTAAGCCCAAAACCCTAAACCCCAAACCCTAAACCCTAAACCTACTAGTGGGGCATACGGCATGCTCCGGAGCGCCTCCGAGCTGGCAAAGGAAGTACGGCCCTTCCCCTGCAGCCAACCTGGATGCAGGGCTTTCCACGACGCCCCTCGGCTCCACCTAGAAACCTAAACCGGTTTAGGGTTTGGGGTTTGGGGTTTAGGGTTTGAGATTCAAGGTTTAGGTCTCAGGGCCCTAAACCCCAAGCCCTAACCCCCGGGTTTAGCCTTTGGGGGTTTAGGGTCGGCAATTAAGGTTCAGGTCTAATCCCTAAACCCCTAAACCCCTTCACACTAAACCCAAACTCTAAACCCCTAAACCCTAAACCCTAAACTGAATCAAAAACTCCTAAGCCCTGAACCCTAAACCCTTTAGAAGACCCTATTAGGGGTTAGGGGTTTAGGGTTTAGGGGTTTAGCGGTTTGGGGCTTTGGCTTTAGGGTCAAGGGGTTCAGCAGCTTTGGGTTGAGGTGTTGAGGGCTTTCGGGATTGTAGGGTCTAAGATGCGTCGCTCTGAGGATGTGGGTGGTTATTGCCCTGTCCATCGACGTTTCCGGCAGCTTGAACCGAAACATTTTGGAGGTGTCGGAAGACAGGGCAGCTGTCTTGTCGTTATGAAGCTTACCCTTTGCCTTAGCCGGGCTTTTCAGGGCTCCCTACAGGCTAAAGCCTAAGGCCCTACATCAGGCTAAAAGAACCCTAAAACCCTAAAACCCTAAACCCTGAAAGCCTAGACCGACCTTTAAGAAGAGGGCGGCACCCTGACCTTGGAGCGTTTGAGCCAGGAGCTTCTACGCCTTAACCGAACTCCTCTTTAGGGTTTAGGGTTTAGACCTAACCGCGATTTTTGGGGTTGAGGCTTTAGGGGGGTTTAGGGCTTGGGGTTTGGATCCCCTAACCGCGGTTTTTTGGGT